CCATATACATGCAAAAATGAACCATTTTAAAACCTGATGCCACTTGTTACGACTTCTTAATATTCAAATAGTCAGTAAATGTAATTAAGTTATATTATTATTAGATATATTATGTAGGTATAGTCAAAAAGCATGGCATTTCTTTTTCTTCAAGTAATACCACTCATTCTTAATTTGTGAGAAGCAATCTATTCAAAAGTATAAATACCTAACAGTTATTTCCTACCTTTCATTTCCCTGCAGGCTCTTCCAAAAGACCTACCTATATAAGCATGCTATGGATTTAAGTGGTAGTTGGTTAAGTTATACAGTGGACAAAAATTACACACTTGATAATCAATATAAATCCTGCCTAATGAATATATATAAAACTGTTTTATTCATAGGAAACTACAGAATCATTTGGGCTCCTGAATCATTAAAGTTATAAGGATAAACATATATATAAGAAAAAATGTAAAAATCTGCTAATATATACTGATATTTTACTATATAATAGTGAATACAAGGAAGGTGTTGTATGTTACTTGATTTATTCTAAAAAAAAAACTAGCAATAGCATTTGTAGATTTTTTGTGTGTAATTCACCACGCTCCAAAATCATAGGACATGTATTCATTGTAACTTTACTGCCTAAAAAATTGACTCCTACAAGATATGGGGCCGATATGTGGGGTGGACCCAGACAATGGCCCAGTCTTCACATTTCACTGGGATTTACTTGATGTCTAGTTGTCATGGAGTACACAGTAAATTTCACTATTGCTTTTTTTTTTTTTGGTGTGAAAAGGGCTTTAAAAAGAAAGCCAAATGTTTTTTATTGCATTTTATAAAATAAATTCTATACTAGAGTGCTATTCAGCAATTTGGGAATTTGTGAGGATCTTAGAATCTGTTTTACTGTGTCTCAGATTGTCACTGAGAGAAATCTAAGTGAATCCATTATGACATATAAGAGAATATTTTGTCTTAAATCTTGAAGAGTTAAAGCACTCTCATAAAATAAACTGCTAGAAATGCAACATTAAAATAAAGCCTTTCCTCTAAGTTTTAAGCTTAAGGGAACTAGTCCAAGCCAGCTCTAGAGAATCCTGTTGGCTCTTTCCTGCATATATCTAAAAGCCACTTGTCTTTCACAATTCCTGCTACACAATGTTGGGATTTTCTCATCAATCCCTTTCTTGGAGACTAAATTAAAACACAGATAGTATCTACAATGAAACTAATGAGATCTCCTCTTTCTTGGCTGCAGACTATTTTTCTACTCATTTAAGAGATAATTTAATATCACATTATGCTTCCCCTTTGACCTTCCTACCTCAGATTCCTTCCCAAATTCGTTTCTGAACTATGATTTAGGAACTACTGTACAGCTAAAATAACATTAACTTTTCTCTTTACTCATTCAGCTGCATATTCCCAGTACAAGTGCTCATTTAGAATCATGATTAATAGTTGTGATTCACATAGAAGTCAATTGGTCCTCTGCCTTTTTCAGCCTAGCTGTTTTACTGTACTTCCTCACTTTCAAATGCCAGCCCTGCAATGTCAAATGATGAACAGGTGAAGTAAGCATGGCTGTAGTCATGCCGTGTAAGCTTGTCCAATCCATGCTTGATTTCTCTTTACTCTGTGAATGTGCGTTAATAGCTACCGTATCAGTGATTCTCCCAAAGCTCTGGGACGATTCACAGAAAACAAAGATGGCTAGACTGGAAGCTGAAAGAAAGAATACCTTGTCTCGCCTAGAAGATAATTCTAACTTTGTGGCAAGCCTCACTGTCTGGAGGGGGATTCTGCATGGGCCTCTGTTAAATCCATTCATAGACCTATGAGGAAGATGACAGGGAAAGTATTCCGGGTTCTTAATAATTGTGTCCCATTCTAGATAAACCACTAATTCGCTACTTTGTAGATATGGCCCAAAGTTTTCATAAAATATTCTCTGGAGCAGTCAAATACAAATAAAAAACAGCTTGCTTTTTCGAAACCCATTATCTACTAGTAAGGATTTTGGCTATTTGGTCTGTAATCATGATTAGAATAATTCTTAAATTTTAGATGCCTTATGTTTATTTGAATATTTAAAGCTTTTTTTCCTTCGAAATAGTGTATACACAACAATTGTAGACCACTTAGAAATTCAACAAAATATAAAGCAGTAGAAATTATGTATATTTCCATCTACTCAATTTGCATAATTGGCCTCTGCCCACAAACAACATTGTAGTCATTATCACTGGTAGGCTGAACCAATAGGTTTCATGTAATGCACCCAGAGCAATGTTACTTTTTTCTTACTGTCCTTTTAAAACATATCTAGAGAGGGAAAGTGTTCCCCAAATGCCTAGAGGAAGATTTCTTCTTTTTATTGGTAATAAAAAGTCCAATTTGAGTCAATTGTCTTAAGAAAATAATTAGAATGTCTAGTTCTCATATCATGATTAAAACTCTACTCTTGCCCTGGCTAGTGTGGCTCATTGGATTGAGCACTGGCCTGTGAACCAAAGGGTCGCCAGTTCAATTCCCAGTGTATGGCACATGCCTGAGTTGTAAGTCAGGTCCCCAGCAGGGGGCATGTGAAACGCAACCACATATTGATGCTTCTCTCCCTCTCTTTCTCCTTCTTTTCCTCTCTAAAAATAAATAAATAAAATATTTTTTAAAAAAGAAGTTTATACATGTAATTAAAAAAATAATAAAACTCTAGTCTTGATTTAAATTTTATCTTCTTGCCCCTCCCTCCACAAGATCAGCTCTGTTGTTGGATAAGGAGGAAACTCTGTTTTATATCCTTCCCCATTCACTAAGGACACGTACCCATATGTTGAAAATAGCAATAGTCCCTACCTCAATAATATAGTTGGTATTAGGATTAATATTATAATACATAAAAAGTACTTAGAAAAATAACTAGCTCATACTACTAACAAGGTTACCAGGAAAACAAACATGTATGCTTCTACTTCCAGCTCTGAGGACACGGGCCAGTCCCAACACAAACACTTCTTTGTGCTTATCTGTTAAATGCTAAGCAAAACAATCTCTTATCTTTAGGATTCCCAGGTGAGTTAGACACCAGTCTGCAATGTCCCTCATACTGCAAAGGATATTCATTAATCTGTCTGTGTGGTGCCACTGAAGCCCCAGTCACTGGATTTGTGGTGAAACTTAAATTTCTCCAAAATTCCTATTCATAAAATCCTCTCCCCCAAATCTTTAAGCCTTTTTTATTCCATATATGAGTAAGGGGTTTAATAACAGTCTAATATGTTTTTAACTGTTTCCTTTGAAATAATGGTGTTGGATAGCTCATTTTGAGATATCTATTATTTTATATATTAAAAACTCAGTGAAAAACTCCAATTTAACATCTTAGTTATCTATCATCTGTCTATTCTAACTATGCTACATATACATATGTATACATACGCACATATACATATACACATATACATACACATCAAAGACTTAGGATCTGAGATGAGACTGATGAGTATAAATCCTGATTGTTTCATGTGAGTAGCTGTTTACCTTTGAGCTATATTTCTTCTGTTTATCCTTTTTCTGCTTTCGTTACCTCATTTATAAATAGAAGGTAATAGTAGTCTTTACCTCAAAAATACAGCTATTGTGAAGATTAATGTTATAACATATAAAAAGTGCTTAGAAAAATATCCACCCCATATAACTAACAATGTTATACTTACAAACAACAATAACATAATAACCATTATTATAATTACTATACACATCCTCTTTATAACTTGTTTGACTTATGAGAATGTCCACATCATTATTCTTCTTTACATTGTATTTGTTTTATAGTATTCAGCTGTACAAATGTAACATAATTTTCAATACTTAACTGGACATATATATAATTTCTAATATTTTGTCAGAATCATTGGTCATCATTGTGTTTATCAACTCTGTTTTATTCCCCTTTAGAATATATTAATTAAACTGGAATTACTGGATCACAGTGTGATTATATTAAGGCACTTAATATATGTTGACATATTATCCTGCAGAGATTTATATCACTGTGTATTATATTTTCATGACCATCTTAAAATTCCAGAGAGTTATGTACTATCAGACCAAGATTTAAGGGTAAGGGCATCCTTGAAAGATAATGAAAAGCAGGCACAGGGTGTTCTCGTCGCCTCAAAGAGCATGCCAAGAGATTTCTGAAAACTTTTTCAGACCTGGCAATTAACAAAGCTCATTGAGGGTTGGATGAGGATAAATCCAATATATCTTCCGAAGCAGAGAGTTCCCCTGACATAACTACACTGACCGTTCTTTTTTAACAGAAACAGAAAACGGAGTAAGAATGAGCAGCAGTGGCTGCCTATTGTGGTGGCTCATTATGTGATACTTACATCAAGCTGCTTTAATTATGTAAATGCTTCTAGTGAATGAGTGTTATTAAACTTCTATTTAAATAAAATAAATCAAAATTCTGCTTCTCCTTAGTACATTATAGTTTAATTAAATTCCTGAGCACAGTCAGTAACTATGAAGTTATACAGTTGACAAAATCAATCACCAAGGAGTGTAAATCAGCTAGATACTAGTCTAACATAAAGCACATAGTAATTAGTCAGTTTTGGTAATAGATTAAAAGTTTCACATATATCATAAGACAAGGAGGCCGTCATTCTTACTTCTAGCATTCCAAATAGATACTATGATAAGGAGTACGCAATTTTATCAAAGTCCCACAAACTCAACAACACTTGACTTAAGGTATCTACTGTCTTAAATAATAAGGACATCAATTTCTTTTTTCTTAAGCATGTTAATTTAAAATATTCTGTTTTGGAAAAGCCATTGTCCTGTGATACGCTCTTTCTCTCGGTGCCCCTCCCCCCACCACCCTCTTTCACCCACCCACACACACACACACGTGCACATTACACAGAGGAACGTAACTTCAACAGAGCAAAACAAAATATTCATCCCACCACCAAAAAAACAGCCATTGGACCAACCTTATAGAGTAGTGGCAATTTTCCTAATTTCAGGAGTGCAATCTGGTTTGTTACATTTCTCGTATTTTTAATCCTTTTTAAATCATCTATATTTCCATAACTCACATCAATGACTGTAGCCTGAAAGAGGAGAAGAAGAAAGAAAGCCTTGTAAGAGGAATGATAGCAAATTGTTCATTTGGTATGACAAAATCATTTTGTAGTAATTTGAATGTTCAAGGAAAATGAATTCTCTTACCTTGTCCCAATCACCGCAAACATGACCTTTCTATTTCTATCAGGTACAAAAATTCTTGTAGTCATTTGAGAAAAGATTTGAGAGCCATGTTTGCTTAGTCCTTTCTAACTAAAAAATGACAAAACCAGTTCATACCTCTAACAGACAGACTACCACCTTTATTATAGCCTAGATTTGTATTTCTGGAATTTGTATCCTTTTACAAAACATTGTAAGATTCATTGCCTTGAAGTTCAACTACACTCATACCATGCTCAGGCTTAAAAACAATTCAAAGACTCTGTACTGTATCCAAGCTCAAGTCCATCATGCACAGCTGTTCAGGTTGTCCATGTATCCAGATGTGACTAATAACCCCTTGCGTTGTGCTGGGTGAAACCTGCACCACCCCCTGTGTCAGTCTGGCATTCAAGGGCTTCAGAATATGGTCCCAAAATACTGTATCTGTCATATTTCACACTACTCCCCAACAGTTATATTCTGCATCAAGATTTCTCATTTTTTAACCCCCCTTTTATTAATGTAAAAGTGGCGTGACTTTCCAGAGATTTGAATGGGCATCCCTGGCATAACCGCTCCTTTCTTCTTCCTTGGAAAGTACTGCACTGCAGGTTTTATCTAACACATATTCCTATGAACCGAGATGATATATTTCATCTTTACTTTCTGTAATTTCTGGTATCAATATAGTTGTTATGGTTTTCAGTGATAAATTTATATTACAATGCAAAATGTGCTGTTTCAATCTAGAGCATATTTACATTGAGGTGTTGACAAGGAGTTAGTTGTGGCAAACAGTGAAGGTATGAAGGAGGATCCAGATCTTGAACTTCCTGCCCTTTTCAATGGGGGCTAATGCGCCTTAACCAGTTTTTTAAAAGGGTGTCCCATAAAGGTCTCATTTCAGGAAAGAATCCTGGCTTTAAAAGATCATATGAATACCGTCAAGAAATTGTTAAGTCTGCCCTGACTGGTGTGTCTCAGTGGGTTGGGCATCTTCCCACTGACTAGAAGGTCACCAGTTCAACTGCTGGTCAGAGCACATGCCTGGGGTGTGGGCATGGACCCTGGCTGGCAGTGTGCAAGAAGCAACCATTCGATGTTTCTCTCACATGACAATGTTTCTCTCTCTCTCTTTTTCCCTTACTTCTCCTCTCTCTAAAAATAAATAAATAAAATGTTTAAAAAATGGGCAAGTCTGTTAGAAGAAATATTTCTGGCATAAAGTATTTCCTTAGCAATTACATTCATCTGCAATTGTAAAAACTTTATAGTCCATTAAAACTAATATCAAGTGTTATCTGTCTGATGAATTGTATTTCTCTGTTGTTCAGTTATATGTGACTTTCTTTACTTTGAATCCTAGAGTGATGTGCTTCTGTCTTTCTTAAGGCCCTTGTGGGACCCATAAACTCACACACACACACACATACACACACACACAAACGTGTGTGTGTATGTGTGTGTGTGTATAAATATATATATAATCATCCCCAAACAACTCATACACACACACACACATCAGACAAAAATATAATATATATGTTTTTCCTAGTACAGGAACGGTTTCTGAGTGATTGACTCATCATGCAACCATTCTCATCCAGAATATACATTTAGCTTATCTGTCTTAAACTAAAATGATTAGAGTTTATAAAATATCTCTGAAAAGTTAAGCTGTACTTTGAAATGGGTTTTCCAAGAAAACCTAATTCTTAAAAACACTTCTGTCAGAATGGTTTTGATTATAATTTTGTTCCAATTAAAATGTGATTAAATCAGTGCTTTATTACCACAACTTTTGAATTTGCTAATACCATTACTGTCAATCTATGATTTTAAAGGCCTGATTAAATGGTCACAATATTAATGCATTAATTATCACATCAAAAAATAAGAGAATTCATACTTTCCATTTCAAATTTCTAAGCTACCCCCTAATTATTTGTGATTCACTGATAGCATCTTAAAACAGGGCCATTACTCAGTTGGTTACATTAATGAATATATTTTTCTTATTTAAGAAAGTATGGGGAAAGTCATACTGGTCTGAGAGGGTACAGGCCAGGCTTCAACTTTTGTGTGTGTGTGTGCATACCAGAAAGATATGGCAGCTACAGAAATAGCAGTTCTGTACAATATGTTTACATTACCTGAAAACAGCAATAACTTGTATCCACAATAGCAGTTTTAATTAAAAAATTCTTCAACTCATCCTCTATAAATAACATATCAATAATTAAATCATTTTACTATGTAATACGGCTTTTGTCACAAAAATATTTTCAACGCAAGCGTTGTTATATCAGTTTATTTTGGCTGATGCACTTTGAGGCTATACATTAAAAAGCAGGAATTACAGAAGTCTCAATGTTCAGATGATTTGACAGGTGATAATACACACGTATTTATTGCCTTTGAAGGATGCCTCTAAACCAGGTCCTTTCTGAATGTCTTTCCTATTTACCTTCAAGCAAGCTGAAAATCACAGCTGCAAGAAAGCACACTGAATTCTTCTTAGACACAAATAAATATACAATGATATTATAAAATGTCAAGTCATTTCTTTCTACACATTCTAGTTGAAGCAGTGAACCTCTTCTTATTGCATGTGTCCTGTCACACTAGGAAATTGTCCACTCAACTGGCTGGGCTACTATGATTAATTTACATCCAAATACCAAGGATTCAGTCAATCTGACTAGTCCCTTTGGGAAATGTCAAATGAGCAGGAAGCTAGATACCTGCTGGACTATTTACTCTGTGTGCACTTGTTTTTCCGCTGTGGACTTCACAGACACACAGGAGAGAAGACTGAGAGATATAGAGCAAGTGGAACTAGATCTTTTTGTTTTAAATATTTTTTAATTTTTTACCAGAGAGAAAAATAAAAAGGGCCCATAGTAATTTTTTTAATGGCATAGTAATTTTTGAACAAAGAACAAATAAAACAACAGACACAGTTCAGACAGAATACCAAATATTTTATACTTGGTAAAAAAAATAGTATTGAGATGACAACAGAAGGTGGTGGGCAATATAGAAAAAGCTGAGAGGAAGACTGGCATACTCTAGAAACAAATATTAAATATTAAAATACAATTATCCTCTACCTATGCCAAAATATGTGTTGAGAAGGAATCATGAGCCAGACAACTGACAATGACTAAAAATCAAAATATTAAAAAATGATACTATTATGTCAGCAATTCTGTGGTTCTATACAAAAGTGGAGGAACATCCTGAGCAGAAGCAACAGAAGACAGAAATTAATACATTATTTCCTGTGGTCAGCCAAATAAAATGAGTAGAATCATCATAGAAAGTAAGTAGGTCAGAGTAGTTTCTCCAGGGACTTCCCCCTGTGGGTGGGCCCCACACTGAGGAATAATCCAGTGCCATGTTTCTCTTCCGCCTTGAAGGAGCAAAAATTATTCACACATAGGAAATTATATATGCTTTGAAATTTTTCAGACTTGACATTTTCAACCAAATCAATCATTCTGAATCTTCCTAGTTCCACTTTAAGAGAGATTTTAAAGGTACAGAATGTTTGAAAAGCCTGCTTTGACTAAAATAGTAATTTTATCTTCAAAATTAGATATGGTAAACCCAAGCAGTTCTCATACTGACAAAATACATTATCAGAGGTATAATTCATCTCAATACAAGTTTTACTTTAGAAATTTACTGATATCTTATATAATCTAGCTCTTGAATAGTCTTCAAATTTAAGTGCTGATGTTTATTAAATATTGGTAAAATTAAAATGATCTCTGATGGTCACCTTTGTCCTTTCTAAATCGCATGAATATATTAGTACTTATGGAGACTTCAATATTCAGAGATTGTTAGAATTTTATTAGTACTTATTTTTCAAGTTCATGCAAAGGCTTTCACCATGCACATTATCAGGAAAACCACAACATATTGAAGCATGAAAACCAGTGCTGATTCCTCCCCTAGCCCTTGGCAGACATCACTAATCAATCATAGTTTTTCACATTCCTTCTATAAGTGGTATTCTAGCTAATTAAGACCAATTAGAGATCAGAATAAGAAGGGAGCTATATCAAATGTTTAATAGTGAATATTATATAACTATTAGCTTAAATAACTAATATTTAAACTGAAATAATTTCTTTAACATATATAATAACTGAAACCATATGATTATTAATTGGTTAAAATGGACTCCTGAACAACCAGCAGACACATCAACTAGTGTACAAAACTAGATATGCCAACTGAATTTAGCATTAAGCATGAAAAACACAACCCATTTTGCTGTGTTTCATTTAAGCAATCAGATAAAGGGCTAGCTTGTCAAATTTATCACTTTTTTCCTTTAATGAACATTTGCTGAAGAAAATATTTGCTACAATGATATGCTAAATGCACTGTCTTGGCATACAGTAATTATTTAACATATTTGCAATTTTTAAAAATAATATAACATGCACATCAATTTAAGTGATAATAAAATTAAGTTAAAATTATAATATAGAAATTTAATCAAAATGAAGCACCATTCTGTCAGAATTATATTTCCATATATTAAATCTATAGTCTCCAAGTCAGTAGACAAAATCATGCAAGATTTTGTCTTAGAATAAGATTGCATACAAGATTACAAAAACATAGATTGTTGGGATACTTTTTCAGTTGTCCCAAATTTAACAGATAGGTCTTTAGAGAATATTCAGATACTCATTTGTATTATTTGGCCAACATTTTAAAAATAACAGTCAGCCAGAATATTTTTCCTTTTTTACATTTATATTATACAGTCATTTCAAAAACTAAGATATTATAAAAAATATGTATAGAGGTAGGAGGAAAAAAATAGGAAAAAAAAGAATTATGGAAATCCAAGGAAGAG